GCACGGCCGCTGACCTGACCGGCTGGGGTCGCACCCAGGGAGGGGCCAGTACTCTACCGACTGACCTACAGTACCAAAGGCTATCCATAGTGGCGGCACCCGATTGTAACGCCCGTTACGGCACAGTACAAGAGGTGACCGCTCGTATGGTTTGCACCGAGCACAAAACAGCCAGTGTTTGCGGGGTATGTAGTAGTCATAAATAATCTTGCTAAAATTTTGTGCTTATTGATAAATAAAATATTTAATTAAAAAATACTTACTGATATGTATAATATTAACAGGGTGACTCGGGTGGACCATTGGTTGTGGATGGTAAATTGGTGGGAATAGTGTCATGGACAATGGGTGATTGTAGACCTGATACCACCGCTTATCCCAGTGGCTACGCCGATGTGGCTAATCAACTGACCTGGCTAACTGATAGAATTAAATAAACTTTAATATTTATTTATTTATTTAAATATATTATGTTTGTATTAAAAATAAACAAATAGTTTATTAAATAAAAATGAACATGCATAGTAAACCAGACTCTTACTTGATTCCTTATTATCATATTCAGTAATCAAATGAACTTGTTATTTTTAATACTGGATAGTATTGACTGTATTGACTCAAGACCATAGTTCAGGCTCAAACAGCACCGGTACACAACTTGGCCGCACACCTGACCGGTTGAGGTAAGACGTCGGGTAATGTTAACACATTACCTGAGAAGCTATAGTACACGTCCATTAAAATGGTGTCCCGGGACAGATAGTCGCGACAAGAATAATATGCGCCTTAAATCAAAGAGGCAATAGTTCCTGGGTACAGTATATAGTTTTTAAAATTTATACTGGTGCTTCTATGGTTTGTATACACTTGGGTGCACCACTTGTTGTTAATGGCAAACTAGTGGGTATTGCCTCCCGGTTCAATAACGGTTGTCTGGCTGACACTCCTAATATTAGTCAATGAGTTCGTGTGGTTAAGCCACATGATAAAGTTTTTAAATTAATATCTAGATTGTCATATAGAATATAATAAATTTAATTTAATTCTGATAAATATGATAAGGTTAAATTAAATTATAGTTAAAAAGTTCATTGTTATATTAAATGTTATATTATTATATTTATGCACATTGTAAACATAATGTTATTTTACTCTAAAGTACATTTTATATAACTAATTAAATATTTATAACTTAATGACATAGATGTAATTGGCACAAATTGTCTTAACAGTATAATATATATTATTATAATACAGTGTATTTTTAAAAACAACTTACTTGGTCAAATGATTTTCACAAATTGTTTTTTATATCAAATAACATTACAAACACTTAAATGTTGAAATAATTTTAAATACCTATTAATTTATAAACATTTTAATTTTAATAAATAATTATTAATTACGGTATATCATATAATTTATATGACATTATAAAAAGTTTAAATATATAAATTAATGTAATTTATAAGTGTAATATAAAAATAAATTTATTAAAATAAACCAGGATGTACGTTACACTAGACCTCTATAAATATACATTTGATTAGTTCAATAAAAATTACATTTTAAATGAAAACAATCTGATTCTTGTAAAAGAGTATAAATATTGATATTTTTAGCATAATGTCACATAATATTGCAAAACAAAGCTTTTAGTTTAACAAAATTTTTAAATAAACAGATTTTACACTAATTAATTAAATGAAGTGTTTCGTAGTGTTGTCAGTGGTACTGGTGCTGTGTCTGAGTGCTGTCCAAAGCGCCAAACCAGTGAAAAGATCAGCCGGTGTTGGGTTCACAGGGGGTCGTATCGTAGGGGGTAGGGATGCGACTGAAGGTCAGGCCCCCTGGCAGGCCTCACTGCTAGTGAACGGGTGGTTCGGGTGGAGTCACAACTGCGGCGGCACTTTAACGGGCAAAAAATCGGTCGTAACGGCTGCTCATTGTACGGAAGGGTATGTCATATAAAAGTATATACCGATATTCAGTACTAATAACCAAATCATACAAACAGTTACACCAAAGACACCTTAAAAATACAATACGGAGGACTCGATAGGACTGCATTGACATACGACAACCCCATTGCCCAGATAAATGAGCATGATCAGTGGAATAAGCCGAGTCAATTTGACTACGACTACGCGGTCATCAACTTAGAGCGTGACATCGAAGTGGGCGGTAATGTCGGGACACTAGAGTTGGCACAAACCGAGCCTAAGACGGGGGATAAGGCAGACCTGACCGGATGGGGCGCCACCTCATACGGCGGTGCACTACCGGTGCCCCTACAGTACGTACTCAAGCTCTAGAATAGCGTCCGGCTCACATTGTGACAATACGCGGGTCAGATAGAGGTCACCCCCAGAATGATATGCACCCGGAATCCCACGGCCAGTGTTTGCGGCGTAAGTAGTATTGGACTAAATATTTGTTGCTTTGTTGTTATAAATTATAAATTATCTAACCAGGGTGACTCTGGTGGACCATTAGTATCCGGTGGCAAACTGGTGGGCATTGTCTCCTGGGGACGCAGTGGCTGTCCGGCCGACACCCAGACCTCCCCTAACGCCTACGCAAATGTGGCTAACCTTGTGGACTGGCTTCAGGAGAAAATTGTCTAAATTATTATTGTTTTCTGAATTAATTTATTAAAATTAAATAAACTATACATTTATTTGTTGTGATTGAATGATTAAAGTATTGACCTATGTTATTAACTTATATTTTATGATTTATTTAAAAACAATTTTTGAAAATTATTTCTATATTCACAATAAATTATTATTTTATTACAAATATTACAATACATATTTAAAATATCAATTAAAATAATAATATAATGTCTTTGATTTGATAGGCAACACAATAATTATAAAATATACAGATAGTATGATAAGATTTTGTACTGTATTACTGTATTATCATTTACAGTATTTATTATTGTTATCTTTATTGTATTTTATTATTATTTAAGTAAAATGATATATAATCACTGATATATACGGTATAATTGTGCATGGTCAATGGTGGTGTTATGATCATTGAAATTGGTGATGTACACGACTTATATACTACTTATGATACCATTGGCACATATAGCTTATGGGCGCCAAAAAGTATCGTAAATCGTATACAAGTGGTGTATTTAGCCCATGGCCTTTCTGGGTAATAGGATGTGGTTGCACATAATTTCTACCTTGAATTCTTGAGTGTCCCCGGTAAGTTTGTAGAAGCAACAAGGTTATATGTTCAGATTAATCTTGTGTACTCAAATTTCCCTATCCATTTACCGATATCTGGAATAATAATGATAATCATTTTTGTAATGTTAAAAAAATTATACGGGTTACATTGCAAACGCAAACCATTGCTGGGATTGTACCCTGGTCCACAGAATGATCACATCTATGAGAGTATCTATTATTACAGACATTAACATGTCATAATATATTTGGAGTTTTGCATCAAAATCAATCATCACATAAATGTTATGGTGCACTTTATGTAGACGAGGGACATTTATTTTGCACAGCAAACTGTATTTATAACTAAAATTTTAAAATTAAAACTAAGTTCACATTAACTTATTTCTTAACTCTTAAAACTTAATTTTATATCAAATGAAAAGTATAACATATTCAATAAAGTTAAAAATAAAATGAATGTAAATAACGTAAAGCCTCGAAACAGAATGAAAATTCATGATACAGAATATTAGACATCCTGGTAACTAGATATTGATTTTAAAAATTTACAAACCATTAAATATAATTTAAAAATATATTTAATGTACACATTGATGTAAATTAATATTATATATCAAATAAGTTATAATATTAATTTTAAAACAATTAACTGAGAATGCTCGTTACTTATAACATTTTCTATATCTGTAATTTAATAATATATTTTGGGCATCAATTTAATTGACAACATTTGAATTATTTGTGTAAAACACTACTTGGATTTATAATCTACTTATGCTACTACTGTATCTATTATTTAATAAATCTTAATTATCCTACAAATATGTATATTATTTTGAATTAAAGTTTTAGAGAAAAGAACTTTTGGTTAATAATAAGATCAAATGAACTCCAGATTGGTGATATTCCTATTCATATAGTTGAATATAATATATAATGGGGTATATTAGTGCTTGATAAAATTTTGATAGATAATAGCCAAAAATTTCCAATTTATCGTACATTTCTACAAAAAAATCTCACAAAAATGTCCAGGAATTTTATATTTAAATTATTAAAAGCTCCCAGATAAAAACATTTAGCGTAGATTTGACAAGTCTATAGTACAGTTTTATATTTATCCTATTCATGCAGTTTACTTAAAAATAACAAATTAAGTTTAAATAAAAATCCATTGTAATTAAATCATTAAATTGTTAAGTATTATAATTAAAATAGTAATTTAGCCACAATATTACTGATAATAAACAGGATATTAATAAAAACAAAAATTAGCTTATAAAATTTGCTACTTGAGCACCATAAATTATATTGTTTTATGCAATTCCCATCCAGTTCAATATAGTAATTTATATCATTTATTATATTATTATGTACCGAACTACCAAATTTTATATGAAATTGTGTTTAAGATTAATGTGCCCGGATATATCGTATATATCATAGGACACTACCAAATACTAGCCATAAAATCATAACATTTGACACTATTTTATGAGATGTATAAATTGGATAGACGTACAACTTTATAAAACTTTACAATTTTATAAAATTGGTAATATTTCATACAAATCCTGAAATACCTAGACTATATAAGTTGGATTCAGTTTTAATATTGAGTCACTTGTAACTAAATTTAAAACAAAATCAGTTATGAAGGGTCTGCTAGTCGTGTCAGTAGTACTGGTGCTGTATTTGAGTGCTATCCAAAGCGCCAAACTAGTGAAACGATCGCCCGGTGTTGGGTTCACCAGAGGGCGTATAGTGGGCGGTAAAAACGCGGTCGAGGGTCAGGCCCCCTGGCAGGCCTCCCTACTCGTGAACGGGTGGTTCGGGTGGAGCCACAACTGTGGCGGCACTTTAACCGGCAAACGATCGGTCGTAACGGCAGCTCATTGTACGGAGGGGTATGTCATATGAAAGTATATACCGATATTTAGTACTAACAGTAATAACCCTAACATACAAACAGTTTAACCAAAGACACCATAAAAATACAATACGGAGGGCTCGATAGGACGGCATTGAAATACGAGAATCCCATTGCCCTGATAAATGAGCATGATCAGTGGAACAAAACGAGTCGATTTGATTACGACTACGCGGTCATCAACTTAGAGCGAGACATCGAAGTGGGCGGTAATGTCGGGACACTAGAGTTGGCACAAACCGAGCCTAAGACGGGGGATAAGGCAGACCTGACCGGATGGGGAGCTACAGCGGGCAACAGTGGGAGTGATGGGCAAGGGGATGTCATGTGTGGTAACCTTTACGAAAGTAGTAGGCTCACGTTATGGCATATGTGCCCTGTCTATCACCAGTGGGGGTCTTACTAAACGTGGGCATTAGGGTGCCGGTCACATTGTGGTGTAAGTTAGAAATGTTTTGTGTAAATGAGTAGTATTTGGTACTAATAGTCAATATATAACCAGGGTGACTCGGGTGGACCACTAGTATCCGGTGGCAAACTGGTGGGCATAGTGTCGTGGGCCCGGTCTGACTGCACACCCGATACCCAGAACTTTCCCAACGCCTACGCAAACGTTGCGGTCCTTTATGATTGGCTCAAAGCCAGAGTTGTTTGAATCAAATCAGTCATCAATTTAGTTATGTTTAATATTGAATGCAAAAGTTCAGTGATAAATGTAGCAGTGTTAAATAATTTTTAATTATCAAGTTCATTTAAACTTTTAATAAATTGGGTTCAAAGCATTGAATATACATTATTTATTTAATTTTCATAGACAACTAAATTACAAGTTTGCTAAAGATTTAATTCATAACCATTTAGTTAATAAAATATTGAGAGTTAAAATGATATTTATCATATAATGAAATTGTACTTGATAATTAGTTTTCAAGTATCATTGACTGGTATATCGGGCATAACTGACATTAGCGGCGAGATGTCCGCCATCGGCCACCAAAACACTTCCCGTTATGAATGAACTCTCATTTGATGCCAAATATAGCACAGCGTTTGCGATGTCATCCCCAACACCATACCGGCCCACGGGATACAGTTTGCCGTAAGCCTCGTAAAACTCCTCGGAATCACTTTCAGACACACCCACATTGATCGAGAAATTTGTTTTCACAGCACCGGGACTTAACAGATAAATATAATTAAATTAAAAATATGTCATCAATATAATATAGTTTTTCAGTTACATACTTAATACAATTAACACGAATGCCTTTGTGTCCCAACTCTACGGCAATACATTTGGTGAACATATCCAGCGCTGACTTTGACATACAATATGGCGAGTATTGTGGGCTCTATTCACATGAACTGGGTTAATTTTAAATATTTTACAAGTAATACAAAAGTAATTTTCATACAGTTTGAGTACTTCTAATGCTCGACATATTAATGATATTTCCTTTAGATTTTTCCAAATGTTTGACACAAATATGTGTCAGAAATACCACAGAATCCAAGTCTGTCTTTAAGACGTGTCTATAATTCTCCATAAAATTTGAATCACTTATTGAGGCCTTTAGTGCCGAACCCGCGTTATTCACGAGAATATCTATTTTTCCAAACTCTTTGACAGTTGTGTCCACAAGTCTTACGAGGTCTTCATCTCTGGTAACGTCTGCCACCACTTCCAGTGCTTTCAATCCTTTTGGAGACACGTTGAGACACTGTTTGGCCACTTCTGACACTTTTGTGGCATAATCCTTTTGGAGACACATTGAGACACTGTTTGGCCACTTCTGACACTTTTGTGGCATTACGTCCCGTCACCACAACATTGGCACCCGATTTGGCAAACAGTATGGCAGTGGCCGCACCTATACCTGAACTCGACCCAGTCACCAGGGCGACTTTACCACTGAAGTCATATGATAGGGACATGTTTAAATATTTATTATTTTATGTACACAAAATCACTTAAAAATATAAATTCATTAAAATTATACAAATTATAAATTGTATTCTAATTTAGAAACTTTTAAAAAATTCTTTTTTTAATAAATATTAGTTATTTTAAATTAGTACTGATTTAAATATATTTAAAAATAGTTTATGTGAAAAGTTTTAGGTTTTAACTTAAAATCAAATTATGAACAACTTATTAAGTGAGTACTCAAACCTGAACTCAAAATAAACTACAAATATAGATAATAATTATAGTGACTCTACTTGTATTACCGGTATCTCATATTTTATCATCAATTTATCATATTTATGATAGTAAAGTAGTACTATTAATAAAGTAGTACTGTATTTTATTTGATTAACGTTCAATATAATCAATGTTGAGCTACAATTCAAAACTTTAAACATTTTAATTTCTTACAAGTTATACAATAACCTTTAAACCATTTTTATAAACTAAACAAATAAATATTTTAATCGTTAGTATATTCAGACAATTAGGGTTATTAGTTGTCATTAACTTTTATTTGAGGTCCTTATAGGGCTCGGACCCCACATTTGCGGCGAGATGTCCGCCATCGGCCACCAAAACACTTCCCGTTATGAATGAACTCTCATTTGATGATAAATATAGCACAGCGTTTGCGATGTCCTCCCCCACAGCATACCGGCCCACGGGATACAGTCTGGCAAATGCATCATAAAAAGCCTGGGCATCATCGTCCGAAGCACCGGCAGCTTGCGGTAAATTTGTTTTTGTAGCACCGGGACTGATGAACATACATATTATTATTATTATTGAAAATACTATTATTATATCATTTAATTGATTACATACTTAACACTATTAACACGAATGCCTTTGTTTCCCAACTCTACGGCAATACATTTGGTGAACATATCCAGCGCTGACTTTGACATACAATATGCAGACATTGAAGGAGCCTTTCCAAGAAAATTAACATTTATTTAATAAAATTTATTTTTAAAAATAAAACTTCAAAATAATTACTGTTTGAGTGCTTCGGACGCTCGATATGTTGACAATATTTCCTTTAGTTTTCTCCAAATGTTTGACACAAATATGTGTCAGAAATACATACGAATCCAGATTTGTTTTTAAGACTTGTCTGAAATTATTTATATAACTGGTGTCGCCGATAACTGCAGCACCACTTGCCGACCCTGCACAGTTCACCAGAATATCTATTTTTCCAAACTCTTTGACTGTTGTGTCCACAAGTCTTATAAGATCTTCATCTCTGGTAACGTCTGCCACCACTTCCAGTGCTTTCAATCCCTTCGGAGACACATTGAGACACTGTTTGGCGTGAAGACTGTGAAAACACCGTAATGCAGGGCAGTGGTGTTGTAACCCACCCGATTTGGCAAACAGTATGGCAGTGGCCGCACCTATACCTGAACTCGACCCGGTCACCAGGGCGACTTTACCACTGAAGTCATATAATAGGGACATATTGTGTTTTCAATACTTAAGTGGTGTTTAAAGTAAAACAACTAATTATTTAAAGTTGAAATTTTCAATATTTATTCGTAGGAACAGAACTAACTATTTTTATACAAAATAAGCAAATGATAAACGATATTATCCCCAAGGAACTATTAATTACAGTAATATTGATATAGAATAGTCAATACTAAACATAAGGTGTAATCAGCTTTTTATCACTTTAATATATTCAGATAATACACTTGAATAGTGTCGGGGATCTCAGATAACTCGTACATTATATAACCGTCAAAACCCAATGTCCCTGAAATCTGATTATACAATTCAAGAGTGGCTATTGCTTTCATCGTTTGATTTATTAATTTTACTGTCTATTAATATATTGAAGTCTTTTTAGTTATTTTTCTAACCTTGATATCAGGGTCAAATAAACTACTAGAATTCAGCACTCAATTCAAGCAAAATCATAATTTATGATTCATAAATATATTGTATATTAAATAATTTTATACTCAAAATAATATTTAAAATACAAATAACAAAAATAGCAATTTTATTTATTGTAAAAATAATAACTAAATAAAAGCCATTAATTAAAAAATTCAACTAAATATTTATTAAAGTCTACATAAAAATTATAACTTTGAATAAATGATCAATTTATTAATCATAATGCTATATAACTATTGCAATTGAGAAATGTTGACATTAGCGGCCAGATGTCCACCATCTGACACAAGACCTGTTCCCGTAATAAATGACGATTCATTGGACGCCAAATATAGCACAGTATTAGCTATATCCTGGGGCACACCATACCGGCCCACAGGATATAGTTTTGCGTAAATGTTGACATTATAAACATCA